TACATCTGCAGCTATTAAAGAAGTTACCTCAAAATAACCTAGGAGTTTATTAATCTGTTTCACTGAAGACACTCAGCCACTTCACATTACACCAAGATAGATTAGGCAGGGAACTGAGAGATCCAGAAAACATCTGCTACACAAAATCAAAATTAATGGTAAACAGAATGCAGTTCTTGATAGCTGAAGTTCACCCAGATGCAGAGAACTATAAAGGGGCTACTGGAGGCAGCTGCCAGTTAGGGACCGATTCCATGGGTTTTCGGAAAGTGACGCTCTAGTTTCACACTCATGACTGGCAGGTCACGTTTGCTTAGGAGATTTGTACTGCGAAGCAGCCAGAGCCACGCTGAGTGTGCATGTGATGGTCACCCCCTTTTATCCTTTTCCCTGAAGACAGCAGCGGCCCTCCTCTCCCGGGCTCCCTCACAGCCTTGCTGGAAGCCAGGCCAGGCTGGACAGGGCTAGGACATGTGCGGGAGCCAGCGTAGCGGGGGGAGGTAATGCAACCTGACATTGGTGCTCATCCCCAAACTCGCAGCCCCTAATCACAGCACAATCATAGACATCTGGAATAGCTCACAGATCGCCCTATGCTCCTCAGAGATGGCTGACAAGGGCTGAATTATCTCTGCCATTTGCTTGGCCTACTCAAGTGTTTGCTCGTGGCTGTAATTCAGCGTGATGGGATCAGTCAGAGAAAAGCACTGGCTTGAGTAGATGAATTTTGGCAGTCGCAATCAGCACTGGCCCTCACAGTGGACACGGGAGTGTCTCAGAGAGGTAAGGGTGGCACCCTTTGCTGAAGCTTCAGAAAAGGGTGAAATTAAATTTTAGGTGTCTGGAGGGAGTTATAAAAATACCTGCATTGGAGAGCACAGAGAGATGCAGCCATCACTCCTTCCCATGCAGCTTGCATAGGTAGGTCCCAGGCATGAATATCCAGGGTCACACAGGACTCCCCTGAAGGAGGAATGGCTCCGTCTCCCTTGGGGAGGCACATTACCTTCCCAGGGGACACCCTATCAGTCTCATAGTCCTGCCACAATCTTTGCTACAATGTCTACCTTCAAGTCCCACAAATCTAACTTGGAAACAAAGCACCCCCAGGAAGTCCCTCTCAGCTCTCTGGGCTTGGCAACCAACATAAGGTACAGACACTCCTGGATGTGACGAAGCAAGATCAAGTCACTTAAGCAACCACCACCCATTAAAGAGAGGTTCAGGGCATCAGAGAGCACCAGCCCAGAAGCATTCCTCATCCCTACTAAAAATTAACATGAAAAGGAAGGAGTCTCATGTGTACAGGGCTATCTGCTCTGTGTCACAGGTTACTCAAGGAAAAGGGAGGTAAAGAACGTGAACGTTCTCTGAAAACTTCAGAATGACCAAGAAGATATTCTCATTATTGCTGCCACAGTGTTCCGTGCATGCACAGCCCATGGAGCACAGTCTGGTGCCTGGGCACTCTGAGGAGGAAGCTCTCCCTCTTCCTGGGCTCTCCAGGGCAGGGTTTGCCAAAGGCACTACATGGAATGCCTGCCCTGAGATGGTCAAAAACAACACAATTAATTTTGTTAAATCCCACAGAAAACCAAGTTTGGAAAATGTTGCATATTACATTCCTTGCTGAGAGTGACATTTTGCCTATGAAAAATCCTGAGAGATTCTCCAGTCAAAATATCATCATCAACAACAACAATGAAAACTAAAGTTTACTGAGTCCAACATTTTCCAAGTGTATTACTGTCCTAGGGCCACCATAATAAAGTTCCACAAACTAAGTGACTTAAAACCAGAGAAATGGATTTTCTCCCAGTTCTGGAGGCTACGAGTACAAAATTAAGGGGCTGGCAGGGCCATGATCTCTCTGAAGGTTCTAGGGATGGAGGGTTCCTTGCAACTTGCCAGCTTATGGTAGTTGCCAGCAATTCTCTGCTTCCATCATCATATAATGTTCTCCTTGTGTGTCTGTGTCCAATTCTCCCTTTTCTTATAAGGATCTCACTATTGGATCAGGGCCCACCCTAATCCATTACGACTTTGTCTTTATATCTGCCAAAACCCTATTTCCAAATAAGGTCCCATTCACAGGTTCTGGGTTAGGACTTTGACATGTCTTTTTGGGGAACACAATTCAACCCATAATACTAGGCTTATCTGAATTTTCATCAGTGCATCAGCCAGGAATATCTAATGATAGCCACAGATCATTTCTTTAAAAGTGCCTTTCTAGAACCAAAGGGCCCAGTGCCTCATTTGGATATTACTAGCAAAGGCCAGAATGAAAAGGCAACACACACAAAGCAAATATGCAGCTTGCATTTAATTTAAGAAACAATTGTTGGTTAACTACCGGCCCTGAGCTAGGGCTGTGAGGAATTTGGGGATGAAGGAGCGGGGAGGGTCTCTGATCTCAGGAAATTAACAACCTGATAGGAGCCCTTCCCTCTCCAATTAGATAGGGTAAGCTAAACACTTCAAGAAACAGAGTTGGAAAGGATGAAGGGGAGGTGGATTTGACAAGGATGAGGGACAAGGCATGCAGGAACAGTGTGAGGCCAGAGGCAAGAAAGCTAGAGAGCATGACATCTATAGCTGGAGGGGAGGAGGGGGAAATGGGGCAGAGGACAGGTCTAAGGCACACAATGCATTCACTGTGCCCCAACTGTCCCTAGTTCCCACTATGATTTGACCTGGACTCGATTTTCACTGCTAACATTAGCCTCTCTCACTTCTCAACACACATACTTAGTCAAGAGTTTCCGAAAGTCACATGGTGCGAAGTTGCAATTGGTTAGCCATCTGTGGCTCCAAACCTTCAACGCAGTGGATGCTCCTGAGTCAGGTACAGCATTGAAATAAGACAAACCAAAACAGAAAACCTCCTCAGGTTCTGTGACTGGGAGCTTCCTCTCCAGACTTGAAGACTTTCTAGACTCTCCTGGGCCTCATAAACTGTGCAGAAAAATCAACTATTACTCATCTGTTCCTCTTTCAGTCCCGGGTCAAGTCATAGCTGGGAACCAACCCAGATGTTCATTGCTAGACAATATCTTACTTTTCTTTGAAAGAAAAATAGTTTACTGAAGCACCATAGTGCTTCTATTATTTTTATACTTGTACACTGTTCTGGAGAAGATTAACAACCCCACAACCCAAGTCAGTGAGTCAGTGAATTCCCAGACCTAAAAATACTTAGAACCAGCCGGCAAGGTCCCACTCCTTTTCTTCCTGCCAGGTTGTAAGCATTGACGTTACAGCACTGGGCTATTTCAGGAACTCTCAAACATTTAACTTTGACAGAAACAAGCAAGAAAGACATCAGTGCACAATAGGAAGAAAAAAGTTTGTGTGATGTCAGAACAAATTTGCTAGTACAAACCCACAGTGTATGTTCCTAGTCAACCATCTGTGAAGGCTGACGCTTCCAGCAGTGGAGAGGTTATGGATGAATGCAGTGCAGCCTGACTACACCTTCACTCATCCTCTGGACACTCTCATTCTTCTGGGGTTTTGAAGTCATAAGTTCAATCAGGCCTTTTTCATGCATTTGAATAGAAATACATGGCTCTTCTATAACCCCAGCCTTATTAGAGACATTTTCAACACAAGGACAGTAAGATTCCAAAAAGGTTAAGTTTATATGTGATTTTATAATGCAAATCAATTCCAAATATTCACAGTCAGGATACTGGCATAAACAGATATTATTCAAAGCCAAAGTTCAGGTCAAACTCTCCTCTCCTTACAGCTATTTCTCTCCAACTTACACGGTCACGGTACCCACTGTGAACACTACTTTCCATAAGAAATATCCTTCCCAGCCCCATCCACCTTCATCCATTTGGTTTTGGTATCCAGACAATGCAGTTTGCTTTACAAACTGCCCTACAGTTCAGAGGACATCGAGTCTGAAACCAAAGATAATGACAAATGGGAATGCAAGCCAGAAAGTTCATCTTAGAGTCAGATTATCCAGATCCTATGACCCTAGGGATCCAGCACCATGGACAGCAGCAAAGTACCCGCTAGCCACAATAGATAGTGTGAAAAGTTTGTGTTACCAAGCTCTAGCAACACATGTTGATAACATAGCCATCCTATGTCTTTTGCTGTGTTGCATAACACAAGAACTAATCAGGAGGCAAAGCAATGTTAGATTTAGGAGTCAATATAGAATTTGCTAACTTCTTTTAGATTGTCTCCCTTTTTGGAGACAGTACCACAGAGAAAGATGTGGTGAAGGCTAAAACCAAAGCCACATTCTAGACCAGGAACTTATTTTCATTTCTGATCTCATCGTTCCATCCATGTAATAAAAAGATGATTGCCAATGATTCCACAAATCATACAAAAGACATCCCTTATTAGAGACTAGGTATTACTGAAAATGAATAAGGCAAACTTCAATTTCCACTAAAAGATTTCTGAAATTATCACCCATATATGTTTACCTCAGAGACCATAAAACAAATGTGCTACAAGAACTCTGGCAGGGGAAACAGAACATCATGGAATTGTTTTCAAAAGGAAAATTAATTAGTTATTTCTATTTCAGCTTAACTGAAGCTGTAAGAAATCTATTCAGAAATATTTTTCACAGAGGTATCTCTTCCTAGATATTGAAATACCACAAACCATAAGCAATTTTTTGCGTTGTTCGTGTTGTTTTGTCGGGTAAAACTAATAATTATTCCAAGCTTCACTCAAAAATGTGGCTTCTCTTAAGAAACCAAAAACACGATTGTGAATGAGCCAGTTCTTCAAGTACCCCTCCTCTGGTACTTGTAGGTAGAAGTCATAGTTTTCACAAGCAAACCTGGCCTTCAGTCCATCGAGTCCCTACAGACAAATACCAAGCAGTCAGCACCCAGAAAAGGCCACATGAAATTTCAAAGAATGAGCTGCCCACAGTCTGAAGTTCATCTTAGTTTCAGCAAACTACTTCAAAAATGTCAACACTGAAAAGAAAATGGGTATGAGTGCGTTTTTCCTACCTTCTCTTCTTGTGACTTCAAAGCTTCTGGGCTCCTGCAAGAAAAGAAAGACTTTGTGTTTTTTGAAGAATAATTCATATGTACAGATACTTGCAAATATCTCCTCTCTTGTTAGTCACATATTTATGAAAAGGTGAACAATCTACTAAGAAGATGACACTGAGCAATGTTGGGTTTACTGAACTCTCAACATGTACATCTATAAATGTAAACAACTTGTTGCTTTGAGGGTTTAGGCAAAAAACAACAAACAAACAAACAAAAAAAAAAACACTGTTAATCACAAAGTTTTCAGTGAGCACAGCTAATTCTCAGGGTCTTCCTTATTTGGAATCTGGGCTGGTACCAAGTGTTAAGGAAGACTCTTCCAGGTTGATGACCCACCCTCTGCCTGAACTGTAGGTGCTTTTAGGGACTGAAGAAAACATAAGCAGACAGGGGCTAAAATTATCTGGCTAGCAGCAGCTTCTTCTTCATGGTGCTATGGTGAAGACCACCACTGCTCCTGGGTATGTCACTGACATCACCTGATGATGGATTAAACACAATTTATAGTTTCTAAAGGGTGAGAGCCTATGAACAATTTGGATAGCCAGTCCATGCCACTGAACTAAATTAAGCCCTTGGGTTTTCCTAATTCAATCCCATTTTTTTTGATGCCTACTATGTGCAGGGCAATAAGCAAAGTGCTCCAGAAGTTACCCAGGTAAAACAGAGTACCTGCATTGATATTCACAGTTGATTGGGGGCTACGGAACAAACGCAAATTACTGAGAAATCAAAGGGTGATTTGTCTTGTAAATACCAGTATTTCACATTCCAGTTGGAAACATAGGGAAAAGTGTTTTTAAAAGAACCTTTGAAAATAGCACTGAAGAATAGGCAGGTTTTCAGACAGAAATGGAGGAGGGAGAGTGGACCAGGAAGAGTGAATGGCATAGGAAAATGTTGGGTGGTAGGAAAATTCAGGGTAGCTCTAGAAGAAGGAAAAGTCTTGGTGAGAAGCAGTGGGGGGAAAAGACTAGAAATGCATATTGCAGTTTCATAACTAATAAAAAGCATCTCCAACTCATCACAAATGACATGTTTTGGATAAAAAGCCTAAGGTTAAAAATAAGCTGAAAGTCCATACTAGCAACTAAAGAAGAGAAGAGAAAACACCAAACTATGACTACCGCCTCAACACGGCAGCCAAGAAGGTAATTCGGCAACAGTGCTTTTTAAGGCAATAGCATTGTCTTTCACACCTTAGCATTCTTGTCTAGCATCCTCTTGTGGTCAGAATGGGGAGGCAATATTAGAGATGAAACTAAGAGGGCACTGGGAAGGTTGTCCTACCCAAATTACATTCCCTGATTGCTACCTTTCTACTGAGCAAAAAGTCCCATTGGAGACCAGTGGAAGATCCACGTCACATGCCAACAGCCCATCACACAAACCAAACTCTGGTTCTTGAAGGAGTACTCATCAGGTAAGGGTTCAGAGGTGGGGGCACAGAGATGACAGGTGTAATGCAGGAAACATAAGCCACAGAGCATATTTTGCACAAAGCAAACCCAGCTCCTCCCAAACTTCCTCAGTAACCCGCTCCAAAGCCTGGCATCTCTGTTTCTTGAAACAGCTAGTATTCACGGAGCAGGAGATATTCATAATCAGCTCCAGAAAAAAACTACAAAACTTTTGTTGTGGTTACATAAAATTTATAAATTAATTTAGGGAAAGCTGACATCTATATAATATTGCATGTTCTTATCTAATAACATGGGATTTTAATAATTGTTCGAGTCTACTTTTGCTTCTTTCGAGAGTATTTTATAGTTTTCCTTGTGCATATTTTGAATATTTCTTTTTTGTATGTCTTTTGTTATCATAAATGTTCTCTTATTATTTCTTCTAGCTAGTTTACCAATATACATTTTATTGAGTTTTAAAAATAAATGTATGTGCTAGCTGAAAAACAGCTTGTTCCTTTACTCATTTGTTTATTGACTGTTTCCCTCTAGTGGAATGTGGGTTGGGATGGCGCCAGTATCTTTTTCACTCTTGCATCATCAGTGCTATAGCAGAACAGATGCTCAATACATATTTGTTGAATAAAAAATAAAATAAAATAAATGTGTTGGATTTTATCAAGTACTTTTCTCTGGCATTTAAGGAGATAATCATATGATTTTTTGCCTTAGTTCTATTAATAGGCTGACTTACATAGTAGATCTCATAATATTCCACTACCCCTGTACTTCTGAAACAAGCTATTCTTAGTCATAATATACTTTTTAAAATATGCTGCTGGATTCCGTTTATTATTGTACATATATTTTACATTTATTGGTCTATAATTTTTTGTATTGACATTCATAAATGAGATTGGTCTACCAATCTCATATTTTTCTTATCAGATTTAGAAATTGGCGGGCATGGTGGCTCTCATTTGTAATCCCAGCACTTTGGGAGGCTGAGGTAGGCAGATCACAAGGTCAGGAGATCGAGACCATCCTGGCTAACACGGTGAAACCCCGTCTCTACTAAAAATACAAAAAATTAGCCAGGCATGGTGGTGGGCACCTGTAGTCCCAGCCACTTGGGATGCTGAGGCAGGAGAATGGCATGAACCCGGGAGGTGGAGCTTGCAGTGAGCTGAGATCGTGCCACTGCACTCCAGCCTGGGCGACAGAGCGAGACTCTGTCTCAAAAAAAAAAAAAAAAAAAAAAAAAGGAAATTAAAACAAAACCAACTTTATGTAATGAATTTGGAAGTTTTCCTTTTATTATATTCTGAAATAATTTAAATAAAAATATGATTATCTGATTTAGTTTAAAATTTTTTAATTTTTGAGACAGAGTCTCACACTGTGGCTCCAGCTGGCGGGCAGTGGCACAATCTTGACTCACTGCAACCTCTGCCTCCCAGGTTCAAGCAATTCTCCTGCCTCAGCCTCCCAGTTCTTCCACTTCATTTCTAAGAGACTGACTGAAAAGGGAGGAGAGGTTAAAGTTGTCCAAGGTCTCACATTTTGGTCAGTGGGCAGCTAAGATTTAAATCCCAAAATCTGATTCGAATGCCTATGCACATAGCATTCCAACTTTAAAAATAGTCATGATAGTTAATTCCTAGGGACACTGAAAATTTTATGATAGACTTCTTCTTTGTGCCATAAAAAAAGTAGCGTGTATTAGACTAATACTTCTGCTATCAACAACTATAAAAGTGCAATGAAAAAAAAGTTTTTGAAGGCATCCAACAGCAACAAAGCAGCCAGAATTTAAAGGAAAGTTATGAGAGAAAAGTCCATTGAGATGAGCCCCATATTCACGGCCACATTTCCCCTTTGCGACATTTGCTGTTTTGCATAGAAGCCAAACAGAATGTAATATTCTAGAACTTAGAGAAGTCTCTCTGAGATGGGAAATAAAAATCAGAGTCCAAGGCTACCAAAGAAGCCAGAAATTGAGGGTCAGAAACCCTGGAAAAGGAAACCAGAAAGAACTGAGCTCAACATTTTCAGCTTCCCCTTGAGTTATATGATTATGCCTGAGCTACACATATAAAGGGCAAAAGGCCGAGAAACAAGTTAAAAAATAGCCTCAAATAACAATAAAAAAAAAAAAAAAAAACTGAAATAATAAAATCTAAGTATAGATTTTGAAAGTACATGGCACTAGAGAGACAAAAATTAGGCTTTCCAAGAAATAATGGTCCTGGAAAATGCAGCAGACTTACTGCTAAGACCATATATTCTCAAATTATTCCTATTCTTGAGTAGATAAAGATGATATTCCAGGGCTCTAACAAAGAAAAATAAATCCTCTGTGGAAAACAATAAAGTGATTCACAAACTTCACAATTTTTCATATATAATCTCCAGCATTCAATCTAAAATTACCAGGCATAGCAGGAAATGGGATTGAATGGCTAAAATCCAAGAAAACAGACCACAGAAACAGCCACATGTTATCCAGATCTTAGAATTCTTAGGCACAAGCTTTAGAATAACTATGGCTAATATGTTTAGGAAAACAGGAGAAAAGATGCTGAACTTCGTTATAAAACTGGAATCAATTAAAAGACTATACATTGGGTACAGTGTACACTGCTCAGGTGATGCAGGTACCAAAATCTCAGAAATCACCACTAAAAAACCGTAATCAAATACCACCTGCTCTCCAAAAACCTATTGAAATAAAAATAAACAAAAGTAATCAAACAAAAATTTCATAACCGAAAATTAAATAACTGAAAAATTCAATAGATGGATTTAACAACAGATTAAACACAACTGAAGAAAGGAATAGTAAGATGGAAGCTAGATCAGTAAAAAATAACCAAACAAAAGATCTGAAAGGAAAAAAGATAAAGAATGAAAAATACAGAAAAAAATATGAGACACTGTAATATGGTGAAGAGTTCTAACAAGCATGTAATTAAATTTTCAGAGTGAAAGGACAGAGGAAATTGGGCAGAATCAATATTTAAAGAGATGCTGGTTGATACTTTTCCAAAATTAATGAAAGACATCAAGATAGAAATTTGGGAATCTCCACATGCCCCAGGCAAGATAAATACAAACACAACCATACCTAAGTACTCAGTAAAATAGTTGAATATTCAAAGACAAACAGAAAATCTTTAAAACAGCCAAAGGGTGGGTGGTAGAGATGGGGAGAACATTGCCTACAAAGGAGCAACAGTAAGTGTGATAGCTGATTTTTCAGGAGAAAACAATGGAACCAGAAGACAATGGAATGCCATCTTTGGTTTTTAACTTTTTTAACTTTTATTTGCGGTTCAGGGGTACATGTGCCCATTTGTCATACAGGTAAACTGCATGTCTTGGGGGTTTGGTGTAAAGCTCACCCAGGTAATAAGCATAGTGCCCATCATCTTTAAAATTTGAAAAAAACATAGAATCCAATGAAAATATGGGTATTTATAAGGTAAAATAAATGAAGGTAAAATACAGTGATATTTAGACAAAAAAAAAAAAACAAAAAACCCTGAGAGAATACATTGCCAACAAATTAACATTAAAAACA